ATTTATAAAATGCATCAGGTGCTCACCTACCTTCCACAAGTTGACTCCAGTAGAACTCACAGCGCTGTCTTATCAGGACTCTCAAGCAGGCTTACACGAAATGTCATCACAAAGCAAGGCTGAGATCAGGTCTGCAGGGAGACCAGCCTAGATGTGGGGTGGTGAGACCTGATCCCGGGTAGTTTATTTAAGATGCATTCCACAAGATGTGATTTCTGCTCTAAAAATAATAAAACTTCAACATGATTCTGCACCTGCACCAGGCAACATTTTTTCAACACCAATTTCTTTCCAGTTGGCTGTCCTCTGATAATGCTTTTCACAAAAACATTGGAAGATGGCATAACGGTGAAGCTCTGCTCCTGCAGTTAGAAAGGAGTGAGTCTGAGTTATGACTTTCATTTCTTCATTTAACAAATACTTTCTCAGGACCACCACTGAGTCCAAACTTTAGTAGCTATTTGGCCCTGAGCAAGCTGCTTAATTTCTCTAAGCTACAATTTCTCACCTGACATTGTGGTTGTAGGTGCCCTCAAGTCACTTTCCAATTGATAGCGATCCTATATGACAGAGTGGAACTGCCCCACAGGGTTTCCTAAGCTGCAGTCTTTACAGGAGCAGATCACCAGGTCTTTTCTCCCACAGAGCCATTGGTGGGTTCGAACCACTAACCTTTCAGTTAGCAGCCGAGTGCTTAACCATTGCACCACCAGACCTCCTTTCTCACCTGACAGAGCTCCATAAATGGTAGCCATCATCATTATCATCATCACAGAGTGCTTGTTTTAGTGCAAAAAGCAGGCCTTGACTGATGTTTAAAACTGAGTTTACTTTTCAGCGGGAACAAGTTTGAAAGTACTGCATGGGAGGTAGAATGAGTCCTTTCATTTGAAAAGGACAATTTGAAGGTCAAAGAATTTCTTGAAAAGAGTGTATTGAATCTGATCTACTAAGAAAGAAAAGGCAAGGTGATGTCACTACATGTGCTGCTGTCGTTGGGTGCCGTCGAGTCAGTTCCGACTCATAGTGACCCTATAGGACAGAGTAGAACTGCCCCATAGGGTTTCCAAGGAGCAGCTGGTGGATTCAAGCT